CAAGTGACAATCGACCAGCTCAAAAGCCGTCAAGGCAGACAAGATAACCGGTAGCTACAAAGCTGGGTGTCGTGATCTCCCGAAGAGATGGGCATCCTGTTCGGGATTATGTATGACGGCTGGACCCATGGCACCATGCATTTTGTTGCAGACATCGGACTCTACGTGGTTGGCGGACGGCTCTAACGAACGTTTTTTTTTGCCGTGTCCCCGCTGGATAAAGGGAGCCAAGATACCGATGCTCATATCGCCCTCTTTCGGAATGTATTAGCGTTTTACAGCAATTTTTGTCGACATGATCCAGTTTGTTGTCACCGAAAATTGAAGCATCAATCAAAGTATTGCCAACAAACTCGGCATATCATTGGCCGGTCACGTACATGTACGACCGACAAGGAACGGAGCTCGCCGCATACTCCGACGTAGATTAAGCCGAGAACCGTGAGGGCAGACGCTCCGTGAGCGGAATGCTCATGATGTGTTGTGTAGCAATCAAGCTTTCAGAAAACCGTCGCACTGAAATCGACTGAGGCCCAGTACATGGCCATGAACTTTCATGTTCTGCCCATTATTTTTCATGTTTTGTCCATGATTCAACTGAATAAAATACGGGGACTCCGCGATTTATGCTTCACGTGCTTGTGTTATGTGCAGATATAGGTAATCATATTCACAGTACGGCTTAAACGTTTAAGGATGACTTCACTACCGATACATCAGGTGCGTGTGTTACAATTGAGAGTAGATGACAATGCGAACGAGGCTTATAGTCGATGTGAGGTGGTGACTGGAAATTTGAAAGTGAGTTTGATTGAGTTAAAAGCTTGCATTTCTTCCTCTATCATACATGCTGCCTCCACGTACCTCCCACTGCGTATACAAACAGTATACTGCAACCGAAATACTTGTATACAGTGTACAAAATGTCACGATTGTCCTCTCGCAGCAGATCGCGATATAGGTCGAATTGAAGTTGACGCCCAATCAAAATCCAGGATATCAAATTGTCTGCCTATGAGATCGTACTGTTCATGTCACTCAATTGTAGCACGTATTCAGTACTCGTACGCCTTGTGCCAAGCGGTACACATCCAGATGAGTAGACAGCTAAGTGCATCCTCAACACGCCCACTCAATTCGATGTCTCGAGCTTTATTCTGACGTTACTGCGTCCAAAACAGCTAGCGCAGAATCTTCGGGGATAAGGCCTTCGTAAGATAACCAGCGAGCTGGTTCGTGGTGCTAGCGCACTCCAGCCAAACCCCACCGCTCGTAACCTTCTCGCGAATAAAAAAATTGTAGCGAATGTCGATGGGCTTGGTGCGAGCTCGATAACCAGTATTCTTTGCCAATGTCATATCACCTTTTTTGTCCTCGTAGATTATGATACCTCCATCTTGTTTCGGATCAATGTCCTTGCGCAGAAGTCGCATCCGCACGACCGCCTTCATGTAGTTAGTGAGCGCCTAGATGACCAGCGAGTCACGTTGTGTTTCTTCGCGCGTAACGGAATGAGCTTAAGTATCCCCGCCGTATTGTTTGCCTGGCGCAGCTGCAGCATCAGGTTGTTGACTTGTTGCAGCAGCTATTCGTGGTTAGTAACGCGATTTTAACTGCTAGGGTTAATCCGATGCACAATACGATATGCTGCAACGCTACAGAGAGATAAGGTCGTCTATTCCTTTTGTAGAAGCTGTAAAGGAGATGGTGCTGTCAACTTGCGATCACAAGAAGTCGGCGGCGCCTTTGAAGCACTTATTGGAGTCCAAGGCCACTACTGTGGGCGAGGTGTGTCTCCTTATTGATCCGGTGATTGCAGACTACCCAATTATGGGTGGCCCTCTTTAACCAACTGCCAAAGTTGTGCATTCTCCAGCTTTTGAAAATGGACTGGTCAAGCTTTGCGATAAAGAGAAATTTTTGTCCGCTAAAACCATTGCGCTGAAACATTTCGAGGCGCCGTGGTCTGGCGAACAGCCGCGCACGAGCGGTCGCAAGCGTAAGAGTCCCCAAGACAGCTAAGCTGCCCAGGTCACTCAGTGGGGCTGACCCAAAAAGTGGCGTACACGTCGTTGGCGGCAGTGGTTCTACCGACATTGATCACCTGTGAGCGTCTCCTTACGCAGTGCAAGGTGGTCCTCACGCCACATGAAGCAGCAAGTTCAGTGCGCACTTTGAGATGTTCATGTTTCTCCGTGCGAACAAGGATATGTGGGACGTCACGAGCCTGGCCAAGATAATATCATCATTTTGCTAAGACAACACCGTTAATTCACGTACTGTCAATAATTGCGTAGTAATTATTATTGATATCTGTTGTATTCCCGTGTTTATTATGGAAGTCACGTGAAGACAATGCCGTTTTGTATTTTCCGAGGTCTGTGCCCTTCCATATTAGTATATTATACATTGTCTCATGTGAGTTCCACAACTAATATGAGACAATGACAACAAAAAAACTATAATCAAGCGATTTAGGTATACCGATCAAACAAAGGTGACTTAGCTTTCAATTGAACACTCTTCCAGCCAAATTGGCCCGAGAACGACGTCACTGAGATCAATACTATTCATGTCGACGCCAAAGTCCAATTTAGTTTGTACTTATTAGGGGTAAAGCGGCCGAGGAATTTCGTGTGACTCTTAGAATTATCTAGTCCTTAGTGCAACCTCATCAAAAAGAAGTTTTTATTTTGCTTCATCAAATCTCGTGGGGGGGTAAATTTTTACTTTGTTTTAAAATTTAGACCTTGTCGATTACAACATTTTGAAGGAACACTTAACAACTTGTCAGCCTACTCACGCTCCCGGCAGCAGTCTTGCCCTTCTTAAAGTGGACAGGCATGCCCTTCGTCTGGGACGTCGACTAATTGTGGTTTCCCCTTTACTCTTGGGTTTTCTTTGCCACCGACACCACAGCAGCACAATGATCCAGTCGCGCCTGCTTCCTCGTTTTGGCTAACTCTCCTTCTTCCTTAGTAGGCTTTGCATAGAGATGATCGTTCTGGACCTCGCAGGGAACGTAAGGACAAATAGAATGGTACAATTGACTATTCTTCTCAGTGTTAGGAGGAGCGATGGCAGGATCTTCAAGTGGGCAGGCACGAACCGCACCGCCTTTTCCTGTAGGTCGCCACTCCGGGGCTAGAGGGATCTTTACAAAATATCGGTAACTTCTGCACTCATCCATTCGCTTGTACAACGCCGTCAGCACTGATTGGTAGGACTTGAACATGTCAGCTCCACGAGGCACTTGAGCAGTAATAGCCGCAGCAACAGCTGCATAACCCACGTCTACATGGTTTAGCACTAAGCAGTAGTGATAAACTTGCGGATGTGGCCAAAGCCACGGCCGCACGAGATCTTCATGTGTCCCTTCACAAAGAATTTGTAGCTCACATGCTCGAAAACCAAGTACTGTCCATTTGCGCTTGTAGGAACTGTATCACGTAGTTGTTTTTGTTTAACCCCGAGCAACTATTCACGTATACAGTCAATCTCTTTTTCCCGGACGGTACAAGGCTCGTCTTTATAAAATGCGCCAGCATAGAATTGATTTGGTCGCTTCCTTTTCCACTCGTGCTCTCATCGGCGCAGACGCCAAGCTCTCCTCACCAAGTCGAATGCAGCTTGGTGGTCCGATTTCCACTCCCAGATCACGTCTTTCTTCAGCAGCGAGGACAGCGGCTGGATCAACCCAGCGTAGTTCTTCGTGTACTTGTGCAAGTAATTGGCCATGCCAAGCCACTGACGCAACTCAGTTGGGCTTGTCGGCGT